CTGCTTTTACTAGACTTTTAAAAATATTTCCTTGATTCTTTTTTCTTTACATTGTAACTCACATGTAATGAAATAAGCTTCCTTCTCATCCCTGATAAATATCTCAAGGACAAATTTATATATACTAAGTTAAAATAAAGTAAATGCAAAATAACCAGGCGAAGTAAATGCAAAATAACAGACATTAAAAAAAAATCAAAATCTTTATGTACTTTAAAGACTTCCTTTTCAAGGAATTTAACCAACTCCATAAACGTGACCCATGGGTGCCATATGCCAAGGCAATAAAAGGTGAGTTGAGGATTAGCCTTCATTGTATGACACAGCAATAATGCTAATAAACTAGACACTAGAGGAATAATGACCAATACATAATTCTGAGGCTGAGACAAGGGACACATAGGAATTCAAAGCACCCAGGCACATATTTTCTTTTTTTTTTTTTTTAATATTTATTTATTTATTTTTTAGTTTTCAGTGGACTCAACATCTTTGTTTGTATGTGGTGCTGAGGATCGAACCCGGGCCGCACGCTGCCAGGCGAGCGCGCTACCACTTGAGCCACATCCCCAGCCCACATATTTTCTTATCTAACGTGTTCAACACTGCAAAAGTGAAAAAAGAGACTTAATTTTTATTGCATATATGATAGTCACTATAAACAGCCAAAGTCCAACTGAAAAACTAACTGCAAAACTAAATCCAAGCAGGCATGGTGGGACACACCTGCAAATCCCAATTACTTGGAGTGCTGACGCACAAGGATCACCAAATCTGAAGGAAGCCCTGGCAATTTAGCAAGATCCTCAAAACTGGGCTGGGGCTGGGGCTAAGCAGTAGCAAATGGCATGTATGAGGCACTAGGTTCAATTCTCAGCACCCCATATAGATAAAAAAATAAATAAATAAATAAAAATAAAAGGTCTATAAACAACATCAAAAAGAAATTTTTTTGAGAGAGAATTTTTAATATTTATTTTTTAGTTTTCAGTGGACACAACATCTTTCTTTCTTTCTTTCTTTCTTTCTTTATTTATTTATTTATTTATTTATTTATTTATTTTAATGTGGTGTTGAGGATCGAACCCAGTGCCCCGCTCATGCAGGCGAGCGCTACCGCTTGAGTCACATCCCCAGCCCAAAAGAAAATATTAAAAAAAAGAAAAGAAAAAAGATCCTCCCACCTCTCTTCCCTATTTAATGGTAATCTCCTCATGCTCTTCCCCCCTATCCCATTTTGAGTCATACATGTATGATGATGTGAGGGGGGGGGGGGAACGTGTGTCACATTACATTGGGTAGAGAGAAGTGATGCGGGGGGTGGGGGAAGAGGGGATAGGAAGGGCAGCAGAATAAAATAGACACTTGTATTGCTGTATGTATATATACTGTAAAACCAATGTGATTCTGCAACCTGTACACTCAGAAAAATGAGAAATTATACCCCATTTGATTCAAATGTATGATATGTCAAGATCATTGTACTGGCATGTGTAACTAATAAAAAAAATTTTTTTAAAGAAAAATGAAAGTATATGACCACATAAATATTTGCTCACATATGTTCGCAACAAATTTATTTGTAATAGCCCAAAACAGGTAATAACCCAAATGTCCTTCAAAAGTTAACAAATAAAGTTGTAGCATCTTCACATAATAGAATATTACCCATCAACCTAAAGGGACAAATCATTAACAAAAGCACCAAGTGGATAAATATCAAAACTTGTGGAGTGAAAAAAAGTGAGTGCATCAGGTTGGGGTTGTGGCTTAGTGATAGAGCACTTGCCTAGCATGGGTTTGATTCTCGGCACTGAATAAAATAAAAGTCCATCAACAACTAAAAAAAAAAAAAAGTTTTTTAAAAAAAAGATCCTCAAAATTTAAAAAGTGGTGAGGATGTAACTCAGGGCAGAGCACTTGTCTGGTATGTGAGATGTCTCCACCCCAGGTTCAATCCCCAGTATCATTAAATTAACTAATTTGAAAAATTTAAGATTCAAATATTTCATGTAAATTGTGCACCAAGCACTGTCCTACCACTCGAAGAATTTTGATAATCTCCTCACCAAAATAGTAAATTTACAGAATTATATATGTCCTTATTTATGAGGAATCTTAATAACATACTTATTCTTTAAGCCAATAATCATATTTCTAAAAGTTATTTTTTAAAATCACCCAAAACACAGAAAATGCTTTAAATTCAAAGTTATTCCATAATAGCAAATACTGGAAACAATCTAATGCTTTAAGCCCTATGCTTCCACGTCACCACCACCTGCCCTCATCACAGTCACTCTCCATGGGGTAGCTCCAGTAACTTGGATCTGTTGCTCTTAATCCTCCACTGACTTTCCATCACAACTGGACTAAAATCGCAAACCTACATCATGGTCTACAGCACATACATGACCATGACCAACCCAACCTCTCCAATTCAGCACACTGGCACCCATGTATTCCCAAGACTAGAGTAGGCCCACTGCCATTTCTGGGCCTTCGATGTTCCTTCTCTTATAAATAATTTCTCTAGAAGTGTTCTAAGGTTTCTGCTTAAATGCCTTCTTTTCTTTTCAGAGTTTGGTTACTCGGGGGACGGGGACAGGGATTGAACCCAGGACCCTCAGACATGCCAGAGAAGCACTCTACCATTGAGCTACACCTCAAGTCATTTTTTTTTTAAGTTGTAGTTGGACACAATACCTTTATTTATTTATTTGTATGTGGTGCTGAAGATCGAACACAAGGCCTCACATGTGGTAGGAGAACACTCCATTGCTGTGCCACAACCCCAGCCCCTACACCTCAAGTCTGAAATGTTGTGTTTTATTTATTTGGGTGGGGGTAGTGCTGGGGAGTGAATCCATAACTGCGCTACCACTTAGCTACATTCCCAGCCCTATTTTGGGGGGAGGAAGGCAGGACAGGATTATAGGTGTGCACCACCATACCCAACTCTTAAATGTCTTTTCAAAGAGACTTTCCCTAGGAGCCATTGCTCGGTCATTTTCTATTCCTCTATCCTGCCTCATTTTTTATGACAGTAGCTCATACAAGTCAACAGTAGTGTTGGGGGAAGGGTGTCTGTTTATTACTGTCTATCTCACAAAAACAAAACTCCAGCACATTTTAAGTACACACAATAAAAGCTCTAGAAACATGACCAAAAGAGCATGACTAAATTCTTATAAAAATTGTAACCATTTAGTATTTAAGAAACAACACAGGATAAGCTAATATAAAGTCACCATAGAACATCTTACTCTGAGCCTATAGTACAGAAAAAAAGACATGAAACTACACCAAAAACAAGATGATTATAGTAGTTGTCTCTAAAAATCATTCAGGATTACRAGAATTTTTTCATTTTCTTTCTGTAACTTTTTATAATTTTAAAAATACTTCCAATAATGAAGGTATACTTTTATAGTATTAAAAATATATATTTTTTTAAGAAATATGTCTGACAAACATGATGCTTCCCTGTCCCAGTACTTTAAAGACTGCAACTGTTTTTAGATTCTAAAAGTGATTCATAGCTCAAACATATAAAAATCACTGCTCTATATTGTCACTTGAGATTATAATTACTTAAGGACTCATCACCCCTACCAGACTATAAGTTTGCTTATTAGCACATAATATTACATGGCATGTAGAACTGAAATATTTAGAAGTGTTTTTCAGGGCTGGGGCTAGGGTTCAGTGGAAGAGCGCTCGCCTAGCATGCATGAGGCACTGGATTCGATCCTCAGCACCACATAAATAAATAAAATAAAGGTATTATTGTCCACCTATAACTAAAATAATACATTTTTAAAAAATTAAAAGTGTTTTTCAGTACTATGTGTTTTACCATCTACTTACATCTCCAGCCCTTTTTTTAAAATTACGAGACAAGGTCTCACTATATTGCAGAAACTGGCCTCAAACCTGTGATCCTCCTGCCTCAGCCTCCCTATTAGCTGGGAATATGGTGGTACACTATCACACAAAGCTGGAATTTAAATATTGAAAATGATAGATTCAACTCTCGTAATCCCTTCAATTTCCTGAGATTCACTATAAAGCATTTAAAATGTGCTTCTAATTTTATTACCTTCATCCTCTTTTAAATATACCTTCACCTGTTAATCTGAATGAATCATTTGATATAAAAAAATTAAATTTCCTCCACTATTCGCTTTTCCAATCTTCCTGCAYATTTTATATGCAACCAGGAAGGGGAAAGGTACAAGGGAAAAAAAAAAGTTAAAAAGAGCAAAAAAATGGGGCTGGGGTTGTGGCTCAGCAGTATAGCATTCACCTAGCACATGTGAGGCCCTGAGTTCAATCCTCAGTACCACATAAAAATAAATAAATAAAATAAGGTGTTTTATCCATTAAAAAAAAAAAGCAAAAAAGCCTGGCGTTGTAATCCCAGCAGCTCAGGAGCCTGAGGCAGGAGGATCGAAAGTTCAAAGCCAGCCTCAGCAAAAAGTGAGGTGCTGAGCAAATCATTGAGACCCTGTCTCTAAATGAAATACACAATAGGGCTGGGAATATGACTCAGTGGTGGAGTGCCCTTGAGTAGAATCCCTAGTACAAAAACAAACAAAAGAGCAAAAGAAAAATTATTTAAGAAAAAATTCAAAAATGGGGCTGGGGTTGTGGCTCCAYAGTAGAGCATTGTCTAGCACATGTGAGGCACTGGGTTCAATCCTCAGCACCACATAGAAATAAATAAATAAAATAAAGATTAGAAAAATTCAAAAAAGTGTACAGAAAGAATCATAATACAAAGCAAAAGCTTAACATTTATGGAAAGAAAAAAAGGTGCAGGTGTACACTTCTTGGGCCTAAAAATCTTATTGTATCATATATATCTTGTTCTATTCAGAGTTTATTGAACCTTTCACATAACTCTTGTCATATATCAAACAACCATACACATCCTGTAATGCCAAGGGTTCCAGTGTGAAAACAGACATACAATAAGACAAACTTGAGACACTCACCGTGCTGTAGACTGCTGAGACAGTAGGAGTGAAGATTCGGTCCTCAAGAGGCTGTGGCACAGGTCCTCTAGGAATTCTAGAAAGGTGAGTTAAGGATAAGAGAACTCAAAAATGAACTGCACTAGCAGTAAGAGAAAAATCACCACCATAAAATTCTGCCAAAAGCCAAGCATTTTTTTACTCAATTAGTGCAGTCATATACTTTTTCCTCCACAGAAACTAGAAAATAAAGTAATTCAACTTTCCTAATGTGATTATTCCAATCTCTTCAAAAGTGGTTCCTATTATATACATTCCATGGAAACTCAAAACAAATACAATTATAAAACTTTTCCAAACTTTAAGTCCATGATAAGACTGCAACACCTAAACTTACTATGGAAAAAGACTAGAGAAGGATAACCAGAATATATTCAGGAAGATAACACTAACTCATCAAGTGAAAATTGCTGACAAAGGCCCGGTCTGTTCTGCTTACATCACAGGAATAGAACACACAATTCATTCCTTCTGGTTTTGCTTTTAATTTTAGCGGCAACTTTGCCCACAGCACTCCACCAAGTCCCCATTTTCAAAAACAGTCTCACAAACATTATATAGATTAAAATATTTTAGCACATCAACAGACCTTCTGTTTAAAGACAAAGGACTATCATTTTATTCAACTTCAAAACAAAAGACTATCATTTTATTCAACTTTAAAACTCTTCTGCCTGGTATGGTGATATTTTGGAATAGAAAATGCTTGTGAATTCCAGGCCTCTTCAACAATGACAACCAATCTGGTGGTCACAAGGCTGCACACCTGAAATCCCAGTGACTGACTCAGCATGCTGAGGCAGGAGAATTGCAAGTTCAAGGCCATACACAGCAACTTAATGAGACCCTATCTCAAAATAAAATTTACAAAAATAGTAGGAATGTAGTTCAGTGGGTTGAGTGCCTCCAGGTTCAATCTCTAGCATCACAAGAAAAAAAAAATTGACAAACAAAAGATCAATAACAATTACCCCTGGGTGATGGGCTAATATATTTGTTTTTCTAAACTGGATACAAATTATGTGTGTGGTTTAAATTTTTTTTTTTTTTTTTTTTTACAGAATGACAATAAATCCAATGGTGCCAACAAAACTGAGGCTAATTCTAAATGATTTTTAATCTCAAAAATAAGACTCTTAATGTCATAAATCCAAAATAAGATTATTTTCCTTCAAATAAAATGCAGCCGGGGGCGGTGGTACTGAGACAGGATGATCAAGAGTTCAAAGCCAGCCTCAGCAAAATCGAGGTGCTAAGGCCCTCAGTGATACTCTGTCTCTAAATAAAATACAAAATAGGGTTGGGGATGTGACTCAGTAGTTAAGTACCCCTGAGTTCAATTCCTGGAAACTCCACCCTCCCAATAAAAATAAATACATTTATTTATGAATAAATTTTATAAATATTTGTAAATTCTATAAATATTTGTAAATAAATATAAATTTTTAAATAAATATAAACTGTATAAATTAATACATTTATTTATAAATATATTTATAAATAAATGTATCCATCCACAACTAAAAATTTTTCTTAAAAAACAGTTAATGCTTCTCACAGCATTTCCCTTTCTAATTCAGTAAGGTGGTTTGGAAGAAAAAGTAAAAGCTGCAAATAGTAATTTCTTCCCTTTTTTTTTTTTTTTTAATCTTAAGGAATGACCACAAGTTGCCAAAATCTGACAGAATTATTAGAAGTAAAATTCTTTATATCCAAATAGCCAAACCAGTTTACTGAGGTAAAAGAGGGGAACTAAACCAAAAAACCTACCCTTTAATTGTCAGAGACAATACCAGTCTCTAGACAGCATTTTAGACTACCAGCCTCAGACAATAATTTAACAACTGTCACCATCCCCCACAAAGAACTGGTTTAAAATGTTGCATTGAAAAGTGAGGAAGCTAAAACATTTCTCATAGAAACAGCCTCCTCCAAACAATGCCCCCCACACACACACACACACACAAACACAAAATGTTCAAAGCACAAACCTAATAGGTTTTAGGACAAGTGTCCTTAATATAAGCTTGTTAGTTAGTTCTTCAGAATGAAGATTACCCCTCAGCTGAAATTAAACTTTCTTTGCATTAGACTTCTGCATTGTGGTCACATGACTGGTGGAAAATACAGTCATTCTTCTTCTACAGAACCAAACACTACTACATTATTGCTTTTTTCCCAGTGAGGACTAATCCTCACAATGGAGAATAACTTCTCAAGTAAGTTATCTTCTATGCCCAAGAGGCTGAGCTACTCCCCTTAACTGTACAAAGAAAAGGTTAGGACTCCTGGTGTCTATTAGTTGCTTTGTAAACTAAAATGATTACTATAATTACAAGCTTCCTGAGACAGTCTTTCATTTGGCCAACAATACAGTAACAAATAATCTTCCCCCTTGACTTCATTTATTTTGCTCCCTGTAAAATGACAAGAGAATATGGTGGAGTGATAAATTAGCTGTCTTAAAAGATCTTCTGTACAAAAAACTAATTAAAATAAAAACAATTAAAAGAGAAATGAAGAGAACAGTTTCAAGACTGATATGTGACTAACCAATTACACTGTCTGCATTGAACCACTTAATATTATGCCCTTAAGTAACCTGCCAAATTCAAAAGGCTAAATTACATATCCAGACCATGTCTCMTCATAGTCTGTAAGTATGCTCTTCCTATTATATCAACCAGTGCTAGGGCACAAAATTTAATAGCTAGATAGAAAAATATCACAAACTTTTCAAAATATGTTTGGCCCATCTAAAGATAAACTAAAGCCCAGTGCTGGCACACACCTGTAATCCTGGATGCTGAGACAGGAGGATGGCAAATTCCAAGCCAGCCTCAGCAACACCGAGGCCCTAAACAACTCAGTGAAAACCTGTATCTAAATAAAATACAAAAATAGGGCTGGGGATGCGGCACAATGATTAAGCGCCCCTTGGCTCAATCCCTGGTATAAAAAATTTTTAAAAAAAGATGAACTAAATTATTAGTCCGCTCCATAAAAGTGTCAAAGAAGCATCACTAAAAACTTTTGAAAAGTTCTGAATTCTTAGCTCAARCTCAATTATCTGTCCAATAGCAAATAGTCATTACTACAATCTATGCAGATAATGAGTTTAGCCAGAAAAACTTATTTTATGGGAGCATTTTTTTCCTTTAATTATAGTGTAGATAGTTGTACAACTTCATAAACATGCTAAAAAACAATGAACTCTTAAAAGTATGAATTACATGGAATGTAAACTTTATCTCTTCAGAAAAACCTAACTTGGATTGGAGTTGTGGCTCAGCGGTAGAGGGCTCATCTAGCACATGCGAGGCCCTGGGTTCGATCCTCAGCACCAAATAAAAATAAAATAAATAAAATAAAAGGCATTGTTTCAAAAAAAAATTAAAAACCCATTAACTTATAACAAGGATGTTTAGCCCACTACCTCACTTAAAAGGCCTACATAAATCAGTATGAGCTCAGCCCTACTAAACTTTTTCTCCTGAAAGAAATAACACAAGATGCAGACATGATGGTGTAGGCTTGTAATCCCACTTCAGCACTCAGCAACTTAGTAAGACCTTGAAATAAGAAAAGGCTGGAGAGGTAGCTCAGTGGTAAAGCATTCCTGAGTTCAATCCCCAGTACAGTTTAAAAAAAAAGGGGGGGGGGGAGAAGGGAGAGGAGGACAGAGGAAGGAGGAAAGGTAAAGAAACCACAMACAGCAAATTCTACAGCAGACTTCCTCCTAATTCCCACTACCACTGAGCTTATTATCAATTCTAATCAAGCTCTGAATCTCCAGYATAAATCATTAGCTGCTTACTTCCCTTTGAACTTAAGATAATAAGCAAACAGCTTTTCATATTACCACTTACAATTCCAGTTTGACCAAAGAACAGTGTAACATGCTTGCACAATGCTCCAAAACATGTTGACCTTAGCTTTTTAAAAGCTATGACTAAAATACAGTAGTGGGCTGGGGATGCGGCTCAGTGGTAAAGTGCTTGTCTGGCATGCATAAAGCCCTGGGTTTGCTCCCCAGTACCAACAAAATAAAATGCAGTAGCATACCTATTCAAATTGTTGACTTRCATACTTAGAAAATGCAATCAAAACCATTAGCAAGACTGCACAGATGGTATGAAGTAACTGAATAAAGCCTAACTCCAATAAAAAAGGCAAATTTCAAAAATAAGTAAAATGAAATGATTAAAGTACTCACTACATACACTCTAAATTAAATGCCAACCAAGCAAATAAAAAACTTAGATAATATCTGTTTAATCAAAGAAATCCAACAATCCATGAGATTACACAATGATATGTTTTTTATTTATACCATGAAAGAAGRAGGAGGTTAATAGCTTTGTAACCACAGATGTTTACTGAAACCTCATGAATGTAAACACTCTACAAGATGAACCTTCTTGATCCACGGCAATCACAACTGGCACTGGGCAGATTTTCTGGGGAGTGACAGTGACCAAGTTATATTGTCATATTGTGTGCATGTATGAATATGTAACAACAAACACCAACATTGTGTACAACTATAAAGCACCAATTTTTAAAAATGTGGAAAAAGGAAAAGAGGCAGATTTTCACAAATTAGAAACAAGAGTGAAAGTCAACATCATCTTACTTTCATTTGCTCAAACACTAATGTTCCATTTACAGCAACCAGATGAATGTTTCTAAATCTTGCCCAACTACCCTAAAACAAAAGCTACTATCCCGATGGTCATAGTTATCATTTCCACATGGAAAGAGAGCAAGAATACAAATACCATCACACAAATACTGCTCCACAAACAGGCAGCAATGTCAACAGATGAAAACAAATAATACAAAGGGCTTTTTCTATACTATTTCTTTTTTTCTTTTTCACATCAGTAACCTGCTTTATTAACACATAAACTGCACCACTGACTTGAACTTTGTAGCCAATTAACAACCCCAAAAATATCAACTGCTCAGGTACCCCCCCAAGAGACTCTTCCCCCTGCTGCAGAGAATAGTAGGGTGAGAGCAGAGGACTACTCC